CTAATCAGTAAACCTTTGGTTTGACTTTGCAAAACATGCTCGACAAATTTTCCCCAAGTAATTTTTTTCGCAGCACTGCAAAGTAGCAGAAGCTATCTTGAGTGTTACTTGTGGCTTCTTTCATAGGACTGGCATCCAGAACTTGGACCTGCTGACGTCTACTGATGTTACACAAGCCTGGGGCAAGTTAGAGACCAATGTACTACATGAGGCCTGTACACTCAAAGAACTATGCCATATACAGTCCAAACCACTGCCAGTTCTGGGCACGGAACAACAAGAGGAAATACGCCAGCGATTGATTGCGACAGCACACCCGAGTGCAATAGCGCTGCATCAGCGTGGCAGAATGCACCTTATTGAAAGCAATCCAGTTCGCGAATGTGTCACTATTCAGGAGCGAATTTTAATCAAGCGCATCATGAAAAATGGAATGGAACAAAGCAGTGAACTAGTGTTCCATGACGTGGCATGCAGTGATCCAACATCAATGAGAATTTGTAAGTTTTCCAAAAATGACCTTGCGAAAAACGAGCTTCAATTCCAGAACACACATTCAACTTACTGAAGAGGAGGCACTTATATTGTGCAGTGTGACCAGGCATCAGGACAACACAGAGTGGCGAAGAGCTTGAAAAGTGACGATAAAAGGGAGCATATGTCATTCTTATTTCACGTACATTCCAAAAGATGCAACATCTTTGGAAAGCTAGGGGTCCAAAATGCTCTCCGAAAGTTTCTGGGGAAATGACGCTACTCGTTATGGTAAACACTGCGAACAATTTTTCATTGAGAAATACAGGTAGCATAACCAGAAACAATCTTTCAAAGATCGCTTTCGTTGTTCACCCCAAGGTTCCATGGCTTGGACACAGCCCATACGGTGTTGTTTTCGAGAATTCCAACCCTGCTATTTGCAAACATGCAAAACTTCAACTGTTGCCCAACTTGCTACGTCAAAGAAGCTTGCCTACATAAAGAAGAACGGCGAAAACTTTACTGTGAACCCTAGGCATGCATACTTCTCGCAGGTGCAGCTTGGCATGTTTCTTTTGAACTTGACTGTTACACACTTCGTAGTGCATTCAGAACTGGAGTCAATAATATTAACTGTGCATAGTAATGATGACCACATCGACAAACTTGCCCGCAAACTGCAATTTGTGTATTTTAGGCATATTTTGCCAAAACTTGCTGAGCTTGCTTAAGGATGAGCAGGCTATGTATTTCTGTTCAGTAACATTTGGCCTCGTTTACCTGTTCTGCCATGTTAAGTTCTTAAGGACTGAGGGTAGGGTAAGTTTGATAAAATCAGATTTAGATTTTTTGCTTGTTTGTGATAATAGAGCCTTCCTTGAAAATATTCAATGCTCCACACAAATTTGGTGTGTTTTGATTAAGCTGAACGACCTGGCTTTTGAAGACCAACTGATGAGCAGCCAAGTCCCTTTTTTTTCGCAGAGCGTGCAAAATCTGGGCTTTCTGGATCAAGTGAATATAAGGGTACTTGCTTCAGCAAGTTAGTATCTATTCATTGTTACGTTATCGCGCACAACTTAGATGGCGAAGACTTTTTTAGAACCCCTGTGATACCATACTTTCACGATGTTTCCCATAGTCTGAAGAAGATTGGGAGCCGTGTCCGAAAGCAAGCGGTTGTTATCGCACCCTATAAGTTCTCATCACTTTGCATGGTAACAAAGAAAATGTGACGGGAACAAATGCTTCCACAACTAACCACACGAACAAGTTTATAGATTGTGTCAAAAAAGTGGTGATGTGATACCGCTCTCGTGCGGAAATAATTACGTAGGCCAGAAAGGAAAGTGCCTTAATGAATGACTCCGGAAGCAGAACAACAATTTGCGTAAATCCGTGCCAGAACCCCTAGGCTTGCATTGTCAAGATTGCGGATGTCAGCCAAAGTTCCATGAAACCAAAGTGGTCGCTATACACAATTATTAGATGACGCACGAAATCATTGAGCTGTCAGAGATTATTCGACTGCGGAATGACTGCGTCAGTAAGCCATCTGTGGGACTAACGCAGAAGGATGTAATGTATCTGTATTCGTAATGTAGGGTTGTGTGATAGCCCCGCCGCGGTGGTCTAGTGGTTAAGGTACTCGGCTGCTGACCCGCACGTCGCGGGATCAAATCCCGGCTGCGGCAGCTGCATTTCCGATGCAGGCCGAAATGTTGTAGGCCCGTGTGCTCAGATTTGGGTGCACGTTAAAGAACCCCAGGTGGTCAAAATTTCCGGAGCCCTCCACTACGGCGTCTCTCATAATCAAATGGTGGTTTTGGGACGTTAGACCCCACATATCAATCATCAATCCGGGTTGTGTGATAGGTATGTGGTTTCTCAACATGTGTGGTTATCAGCAGTGTACTGTTTACATTTTGTAAATCAATCTTTGTCAACAATTTTTTCTAACCATTAAACACGATTGTACAAAAACATCATGTGTCCGTCTATAAAACTCAGTCGAAAGTTTGCGCTTGTGTTTGTGTGGTTCAGTCTTTGTCGTCTAAGCGGTGTGCAATACCTTAAAATCAAGTGAATGGTTTTTAAAATTCTAATAAGTAGTTATTATTAGCGTAACAGGTTTTTAGAAAAGTATTATGGCTACTTAAAGGTACTTGATGCTGCTTTTTTCAACATTTAACATGTGTTCATTTCACCCATGCCTATTGCCTTGCGTGTCCAGGACGTGCATGTAGGCGCTGTTCTGTGCATCTATTTTCAGTTTAGTTGCACTATTGTTGATTTTGTTGCGGTGGAAAACGATATTCTTCCTTTATGGATGTGGAGCTTCCACAAACCGCGATTTCGCGTAATTGTAACTGCACAGAATGCAAAGGAACCATGCATCAAATAGAGAACACAATGCATCATGTTTCTTTAAATGAAAAGCACCCAAAACTGGCACCTTTGAAACTGTTCTGACTATTTAAAAGGCCTGCATGGCCGCAGTAAACACTATCAAGGAAGTTTAGGCATAACGCTGTGATATGATTTGGTGCGATTGACAGCCATTATCAGTATTCGGCCAATAGAGACGGAGGTTACACCAAAGCAAACCAGGAACGAAGAAAGGGAGATGATGATTCATGTCATGATTTCATGGCAGATGATCTATTCGAACAAAACATAAAATGAACGTTTTTTCACTTTAGCTCTCTATATGTCGAAGCAATTTTTGTTACCTTTGACCAATTATCAGAGCAACCTAATAAACTTGGCATATCCGACATACCATGAGAATCTTTTGTTATCCGAAACATGCGGAAGGGAAGTGACTGTGCTGTGAGTGATTCATTCAGCAAAACATTTGAAACATTATGCTAAAGTTATGCAGAAATGTTGTACGCACACACAGTCACATGTGTTTTATGTAACCAGTTGTTATGAGTTCCGTAACAATGCCAACAGCAACGTCCATATTACCAACACCAGAAGTGGTTAACTGATATGTATCCCTTGTGCTTTCGAGGACAGTAGTCCTGGCTAGTGCAACCTAAACTAACTTTAGAGGATGGCGCCTAACTCCACCGGATTTTAACTCGACATGACGCCTACATATTTGGAGTACATGGGTAATATTTAGATTTATATAATTAGGTAGGAAGCACCACAAGTAACACTGTACTGGCATTATGGCTACACAGGGCCTTTCTTCAAAACTGTTTTGAGACCTGGTGTTGTACTATATTAGAATGTTTGAATGCCCCACAGAATCACCAATGTTTGTTCTCGACATTCCTAGACAGAAAAAAACTGTCAATCACCTTTCTCGCATTACCTGCCTACCGCGACCCATGATAACAGGTATGGGCCACACATGTCTTGAAGAAAGGTTTAGACGATGTAAGTGACATGATTGTCTCAATATTCATATCATGATCAGCCACATATATTCTCAAAGCCCTCTTACCTTTCCATACTAATTTTGGACTACCCCAAGTCAAGGAGGCCATAATGAGGCATAGCATGCAGGCTTAAGCGGCTAGACAGATAGCCTGCAGTTCGCTAAAGAATACTTCCCATTTAAGACGGAAGATCAATTCTTCCTCAAATAAACCAAACATCAATACGTAGCTACCGAACTATAATGAGGTAACGACAAAATGTACATGCTTCGCTAAACAAATGCGATAAATATCGACAGTTGATAGATTATTATCATTTAGTTCCAATGCAAGAACATGCTGATGCACAAAATGAAGCACACCCAAACAGTTTACATGCAGTAAATAAAATGCGTGCTACAGAAGCCTTAGAATACATGGTGCATTACAGAAAAGCGCATTTCGAATACCTTACTGTTAAACGATCATTCAATGCATGCATGGTAGCCAAGCATTTTACGTAATTCTGCATTCATAACGATGCAGCTGCCATTGAAAAATTTAGATTTTTTGTTGGTTCAAACAGAGTGCTAATGCACACTAATGACAAATAAAAAAATCAGTCGCAAAGCTATCGTACTGAAAAGCAAATCTGCGGTCACAAGAGAATTTTTCTCGTGATTAGGGTCGATTTGCATCGGGCTCGGTTCAGATCAATCGCCCCTACAATGCTACTTGCGATAAGTGTGATTGAGATTGATATGATCGCGGTTTCGTTGACGTCTGCACCAAAAATGATCCGGAAAGGTTTTCGTCGTGTAACAGCGATCATTCTTGATCACGAAATAGTGATCCAGATCGGCCCTGATCGCAATGAAAGAGCCAACGTGGAAAGAGGCTTCAAAATGCAGTCGCGCATTACGATCTGTTAAAAAGATTGATAGAATGTAAAAATTAACGCTCCCTTCATTTTATGCTGGCAACAGACGCCCAGGCACTAGCTTCCTAAACTCTCCAAAAGCAACACTCAAGTGTTGCGGTGTTTACGTTCATCGTCCCGCATCGACGACGCCGTTCATTTCAACAATATTGTTAGAGCGTAATCCTTATGATTTCGTGAACAACGTCAACAATTGGTATTTGGCTTACCAATGCTGCTCTAGAAGAAGTCTTCGGTGACAAAATGTGTGCTGCAAACCTTCATTGGCGGCGTCACAGGCTTGCCTATACGGAGCTTCACCACCCACTTCTTCTTGAGTCACCCGTCCTGGGAATGACGGCTTATCTCATCCTTCACCGCTCTGTTCGTGCGCTGCGGCATGCAACACATCCTGTTGCTTTATCGCGTGCATGAGTGTTGGTAAGAAACGAGAACCCCGCCTGGCTCCACTCAACGGATCACATCTGAGATTTTGCTCTCGCCGGCCGCTACGTATCGTGACCGTCTGTATGCATTGCTAATATAAACGAGAACTGAGAGATCGTTCTGCCGAAAAAAGTATGGGGAATGTTATTTGAAGTCATTTATTGAAATTGTGAAGAAACGAAACTGAACGAAAACATAACTTCCCCTGGCCAGGCACCAGACCTGCGGCCTTTAAATAAGGTGTCCGATCACCCCCCCCCCCTCCTTCCCACTTCATGGGGTATGTGTGGGCATTTAAACGCCAGTCAGCGCCACCTGTTGTCATTGAAGCTGCTGTGAGATATTCATTATTTGCCTGTTGATGTCACGTAGCCAGTGATACCAAAACGAGCTGGCAGCTCACCAATAATCCTTCGCATACCAGCTCAACGCAATAGGTGGGCCAGAACGAGACCATCGTTATGAATGGAGGAAAGAAGCTTTTAAGCTCAGCCATTACACAACATAGACAATGGGAGAGCTTTATGCAATAATTTGTGCTTTAGGCTTCATATGTTTACAGCCAGGTCCACTTCAATGGGTAGTTATCAGTAACTCACAGTTCTTATTAGTTCCTTTAAAAAGATTGAGATTGGCCAACAAAACCACTGAGCTGTCACATGAAATACAGAGGACGTGCGCTGTAGCAAAAGATATAAAGCACTCTATGATGTGCCAGTGGGTACCGAGCCACTGTGAAGTCACAAAAAACGACATAGCTGATCACATGGCACCAACGGCGCATCAGGAGAACAATATATCACTGCTACCTTTATCAAAGAGCGATATACGTTGTCTGATAAATGAGCTAAGGTGTCAACTGTCTACGGAAAACGTGTTTCGATAATGGTGCGCAAAAGTTACAGTTATATAGCCTTTACGCCGGTACAGAATTTATTATTCCGTTAAAGGTTAGCCGATCGGTAGAAACAGTCATCCATAGGTTTCGACTAGGTAAGGCCTACATGAAGGCCTTCCTGTATAGTATAAGGAAAGCTAGCAGTCCCACCTGCTCATCTGAAGAAGCTCAAGAAGACGTGGAGCACATTCTTCTACATTATAAAAATTATGACGCACCTCGAAAGAAACTTTCACAAAAACGAAATTATTTGAATAAGCGACCTCAATCCTTAGCAAAAATTTTGGGTCCATGGCCAAATTGAAAGTTACAAGCCACTGCAGTGCGTGCAGTCATTCACTATCTGGAGAAATTAGAAGTATCTCAAAAGTACTAAACGAAAAAATATGTATCGTCATTGGTAACCGGTATGTTTCATAGCGATATTTTGGTGTCTCACTAAAATATCTTTGGCAAAAGCTTTACAAAAACAGTTCAGTGCTTAAGAGCCAAGATCACTTTAGACATTTATTAAACACTAATATTTTGTGTGAACACTAACATTCGCGTGAATACCTTTGATTTTCCAAACCCATCTGTTGTGGACGCATACCTATGTAGTGCGGACACATTTCTGTGTGGTGGGGACACTCAGTATTGAAAAACGCGTACTCATTGCGTAAGCGTTGTGCTATGTGCAAATGTATAGCCTTGTTTTTGCTACAAAATACGCGATGTAGATTTTCGTGCAAGAGAAGAGGAGTAGCCGGCGCCACGCTTTCAAAAAACTTCTCCTTATATACAATTATTTGAAAAAGGGTAAAATTAGGGGCTCATTTTTCTTTGTGAGCAGAAATTGTGAGCAGGTATTCTTAAATACATGCCTTTTTAATATACACGTCTCTGTCAAACAGACTTACTCGAGTGCTTCTGGTGGTCATGGCGCTTAGAGCACGGCACGGGCTTTGGCCAGCCCGAAAGCCTGGGTCAGGCCGAGTATGTTTTTCTTGGATCAGGCTAAGGCCGGGCTCGGGTCCATAAGCTTCGGGCTCTGGAAGGGCCCGAGCCTGTGTCTGGCCCGTATTAAGCCTGGGCCCCATATACAGGAAGTTTCACGAAATGGTTACAATATAATTTAAAAAGTACAGCAAGGGGACATCTGCATGCTACCTGTGGCATTCGCTTTACTTTTGCAGAAATATGGAATCTTCAGATGTGTACAAATGTTCAGTACAGCAGTAAATAAAGAACCCAGAACAATTACCCTTTCAAATAATTTGAAACAAGGAACTTTTCATTGAGGGCGTATTCGAAGTAAATTGTACACTGTAAGGGTGCTAAAAGGGGGTGTGGTTCCTTCTTTTGGGGACCAATGGGGCTGCCACAACCATAAATATCTTTAAGGACTAACGGCACCGGTTCTAACAGTTAGCCCCACAGACGAGCTCAAAGGACTAACATTCAGTCTTCAAATATACACCTTCGCAGTTAACCGTTATTTCCACGAATCACCTCAAACAACTAACATTTACACCTTATGGGGCAATTGTTATTTCGAACATTTACACCCTACTGGGAAAGCATTAGTCTTCACAGTTGCACCTCGCTGGACGACCGGTTTATCCACTCAAATACTCCAAACGGATGAACTGTTTATGCCTAGTTCCAACATCGTTTCTTTCTTTTACTCGCAGCCAGGCCCAATACATTTTCGTCTGTGTTTCTGCGCAGTGAGCAGCATATGGCACAGAAAATAACATGCAAAAAATTATTTAGCCGTCTGTGTGTCACTTTTTTCGCAGTCAATGAAAAAACGAAATAGAAAAGTGAGAGATTGAAATCTTTTATTTTTCCATATAGACATCACGTTTCTTCATTTTTTCAGTGAATTCATGGCGGAATGTACAAGTCCAGCATTGTTGTCACCTCTTGTACAGTCCTTGTGAAGCTCTTCCAACGAAAGCAATAGATGAAAGGAATTGCAGACGCCAGCGGACACAGCCTTCTGGATATTGTGTGCCCACGGCTGTACAATAATATTGATAAACAGATAGGGACGCGTGATCCACCACCACCACCTGATAAACAGATAGGGACGCGTGACAGAAGATTAATATTCACGGATGTGACAAGTACATTCAAGGTGATATGAAAACATACGTGTAAACTATGACACGCAAATAACTTTACCTTCAAATCTTTTACAGTCCTTCTGAAGCTGCTCTGTCTAAACCGATATATGACAGGCTTTGCAGAGGCCAGTGCACAGAGCCTTCTAAACGGTGTGTGCCTCTGACTGAACAATAACAATGTCAAATGTATATAGTTATTCAAACGTGACAGAGAATGAACATGTATACATGTGGAAAATACGTGCGAGGTAAATAAAGCTATACGTATAAAATATGGCATGCAAATATTTTCACTGTGATGTCACACATCGTCAAAGACGCATTTCGATCGCCTTAGCGCGACAGCATAAGTGCGGCGGCCGCAGTCATACCTCCGATCTGCCACGAACCACCATGCCAACGGCCGGTGCTGCCGATGGTCGGCGGCGAGCTGCTTGTGACCGCTTGACGGGGAAGCCAACTGTAATGGCAACCAATTTTCACTGAGTTCCGACGCTGGCGAAAGCCCCGCCAACCCTTGCTGGTGCACTTACAGTGCGCGACATACTACAACGAAGCTCTTTACGAGAACCCGCAACGTGTTTTCGAGGACTCCCAACACAGCGACGAGGTCTCAACCGGTTGATTTGAACCAACTAGTTTCACCAGTCACAACGAAGGTATATGACTGGTGAAAACATATTAGTCATGAGATGCGTGTCGTCTGAGATCATGACTACATTCTACAGTGAAACCGCCAGTACATTTCTACATGACGCGGTGCACGTGTTCGCCGGCGTTCACATCGTCGTGCCGCGCCGGCGTGTCCACGCCAGGCGCCGGTCCTGCCATAAACTCCAAGGCGCGTGCCGCGCTGCGTTGCTTTGACGCATGCGCGTTTCAACACGTCCGCCGTCCTTCCATCAAGAAAAGAGGGAGACGCAGTGTTGTCTGGGTAACGCATCGACATAGAGTAATGTTACTCTATGGCATCCAAAGAGTTTTCTAATATACACTAGAGGGAGATCTAGAGCTAGTGTGTACGGGAACTGCAACGCACGGCGCTTCAGCGAGCATGGGAATGATGGGTAGTACACACATTTGTCTAATCTTCGTACTTCTGGCCTGCTTCTGGATCCGTGTGTGTTCGTGTGGCTTGGAGATGTTTTCTCACGAAACAAAAAAAAAATCAGCAAGTGTTCATTGGTAGTGCTTCACCTACGTTACTTTTTTTAAACCTTACCTTTTGAAATCAGGTCATGAAGTTCAAGAGGGTTTCTTCTTTTCTTTAAAACGAAACCATAATCAGCAATAAACGAAGCCGCAAGTACGATTCGCCACCCGCAGGTATGAAGACTAGGCAAATGTGTGTACTACCCATCATTCCCATTGTCGCTGAATGATCGCAGCACCAGAGTCCCATCTAGTTAATTTTAGGAAACCCTATCATGGCATCACCGCGAAATGTAGCATGTCGCATTTCGCGCCTGTTGCCATTGGGCTCCGCCGACGGACGCTGGTTGCGCCTGGCATCAGACTTTAGAGTGTTCACGTTTCCCAAACGTAGCGTCGCTGTGCCCAGCGTTCGCGTGCGTCAACGCTACATGGGAGTATATTGGGCCCTTCGTGATACGCTCGCGGCGATTTTGCTAGTTCCACATTTGGTGCTGCATGACGTCAATGCATGACGAAATGTACGACTGGTGCAAACTTTATAATCATGACACGCGTGTAATGTAAGTACATTACAACACACCACGCTCATAGCGTGCTCGCTGCCGTTTCGCTAGCTCCACATAAATTAAATTTTGTATCATGTCAAGTAAATCGATGACGAAGCTAAAAGACACATGAAAACATGATGCTCATCACACGGGGAACATGTACGGCATC